TTTACAACGTAATACTCTGAAATATTACAAAAATCGTAAATCTACGGAATATTACGCCACATTTAAATTCCAGATGAAGTAAAAGCAAACAATTAATTTTAAAAATGTATTTAGAAAATACTTTGAATTCAGCGAGTTCTGATTCCAGAAAATGTTCCTTTCAGCTGAATAAATATATTTTGTTTCACTTATAATAAGCATTAACCAATATATCATCTTGTTTTTTTATATCATTTGCAGTAAGTTTTTTTTTATATTTTATTATCAGTCCTTCAATTACAAAAAGAAATACTTTCATCATGTTACGGTACTCATTGGCTGTAAATCGCTTAATATTTTTCAAGCCATGTTTGAAAATTTTGAGTCCCAGAAACCTAGGGATTGCATCCAAACGCTTATCAAGTTCATCAACTGCCACTTGGTCATACAGATCTTTTAGTATTTCTCTAGTATAAATCACCTGATAATTAAATAGATCCAAATCGAGGTGATGCATCTTGTCAGGCACAGTTGCCAAATATATATTAAGTTGGCTATATAAAATTATTAATTGAATCATTATTAATTTTTAGCTATTACGTAATATTGTTAATTTATAATAGAAATATCTTACGGATAATTCCAAAAAATATTTTTTATACTATACATTGAATATTGTTATGCAATGCCACGTTCTACAACGTTTTTCATTGTTTCCAGTGTTCTTAACTCTATATGATCATTATTTAAGCTTAAATTATTTAAGTCTTCATTATGAACTAGACATTTATGGCAAGGATATTTACAATTTACCGATGGATATACTAATGTTTACATTATATTTTCTGAAAGATCTTCTAATAAAATAGAGATATATGGAAAATACTACAAATCCTCACTATTAGTTTGTAAGTCAAAGCCATTTTCCTTATATGACAATAATGGATGCAAAATGATGTTAAACATGTAATGGAATAATGCCTTTTTGGCTAGCGAAAAACTTGGAGATTTTTTTTCTGAATTTGTCTTTGCTTTCAAAATTGGAAGGTAACAAAGCAAAGCTTTAGCATCAGGTTTATTACGATACCAGCTGGATATGTTTCCTAAAGTTAAATAAACAGGATACTCGCTTGACTTTTCTAAATGATCACAGGTTATTGCGTCTGAGTATAAAATTACAGATAAAATATTTGCTCCATTGGGAAGTGTTTTTTGCATTCTTTTCCACCATTTCCCATTATATTGCTCACTATAAACTCTTTGACCTTTATAGTTTAACGGTGTAAACTTGAAAATACAATGTTTGAAAATATCACAGTTGCTCAATAACTCTTTTATAGCGTCAAAGATCTGCCAATGATTAAGGTAATAAGTATCTTCTTTATATACTATTATAGGAGTTTTTTTGAAAGTGGTATGTGATTTACTTAATTGATCTAATGACTTTCAGCTCTGTTTACTGAAGTAGGTAGAATTATATCTTCACAAGCAATACTTTTTGAAAATTGGAGCAATTTATTACTGCATGCATCAGATAAATTCCATTTAACAATTAAATTTATAAAATCCCCAAACTCTTTAGATGGAAAGTTTGACTTATCATTTATATTATTACTCGTAGTAATATTAAGATGTTTAACGACTGACGGGTATTCTATATCCAGTAACTTATATTCAATACTTTTCTATAAAAGACGTATAATAACGTATTACAAAAGATGATACTATATTTATTAATTTATAATAAAATGTTGATTTATACTTCAACTTCATCTATCTCACTTTCATCTTCTTTTTCATCCATTTCTCTTCTTGTAACATTTCCTTCATATGCCTCTTTTTCTATTTCTATATCTATATCTATTTCTCTTCTTATATTTATTTCTAAGCCTACCTCTTTTTTTAAATCTACCACTTCTGTTTCTCTTTCCACATCTATATCTATATCCATTTCTCTTCTTATATCTCTTTCCTTATCAGTTTCTTTTTCTATATCTATTGTTTCTTCATCTATCTCTTCTAAAATACTTTGACTCAATCATTTCGGTCATTCTTCTGGATCTTCTAAAATATTTATATTTTTCCTTCTTCGATTTTCTGCAAATATTTTTCTATATCTGCTTCTTGCAGATATTTTCCTATACTAGTATCATGTATTTTTATATGATTTCTAAATGATGCATAACGAGAAAAGATTTTTGGACAATGAGAACATTTAATTTTCATGATTGGGTAATTATTTATTTATCTTGATATTTTTCTTAAATTTATTATCTTTAACAAATCGATAATATATATATTTTTATATGAATCATGCTAATCAGTAAATTAAAATAAATTAAATTAGTTTATTTAATTGATCAAATTAATTCCAATTTTCTTTATTAAGAATTTTTACAATGATCTGATTACGACGAATAATATATGAAATTACATCTAAAAAATGTAAAAAATGATTAGTATGATCTTACAAAATATGCTGATGTTGAATTAATACAATTTTAAAGGCATAAAAAGGAACAATTTCCTTGTTTTTTTTTCAGTTCCTCTTCATTTATTCAATATTAAATTAGGTTACTTTCTCTTTGATTAAAACTACTCAATCATTCTCAACATTCTTGGAATTTTAATTTAATATACATATTAACTAACAAAATGAGAAGTCGTAATAAAAATCGTTGGTCAAACACTTCACGTAATAATTTCAATTTACAACGTCCCGTTCAAAATGAAAGGTTTATCTGTACTTTTATTATTTTTTATATTTATTCATTATATATTTATCTTGTAATGAAATACTAATATAATATTATCTATTATATTAGGTGACTAAAGAACAACGTACTTTTATTTATTAGTACATTTCACTGTTTATATTGACTTTCGTATTAATTTGTTTATTTATTAACTAAAATTAGCTGATGAAGATGGATCTAAGGACAAAATGACTCCAGCATCATCACGATTATCCACCTCAACCCGATCATCACCTTCAGCTAAAGACACTTTCGAGTCTCCTTCAACACCTCAACAGCGAAAAAGATTTCATCTTGATAAGGATAACTTATCTTTACTACCAGTATCTGATAATTCACGACTGTTAACACCTAGAGTTCTGATTGAGACTGATGATATAATTCCTGATTCAATGGTTAGTAAATTATATTCATTTTACTTATTAAATTTTTTATAATATTTTTTTTAAAAAAAAAATTAGCAATCTTATATTCGAGGTAATAAAAAGACTAGTGGATATTCTGGTTTGTCATTTTATATATATTATGTATCTTTTTTTTTTGCTTGTTAATTAAATTCATATTAGCTGTTGATGAATAAACTTTGAGCAAAATCCTTGAAGTCGAGCAAAAAAACATCGTACTTTTAAGAGAGATTGCCTAGAAACAATTGAGATTGGAAGAAACAATTGAAAATAGATTCAATAATGTTATTGATACTATTACAAGCTTAAAAGGGCAACAATCAGCTCTTAGAGAGATGGATCAAAAGGAAAAAAAAATTGAACCTTTCTTTAAAGTATATTTTTTTATTGTTATCATTTATTTTTTCATTTGAATAATAATTAACTATAATACTAATTAATATTATTGCTATAGGGGTCGGTTAAACAACTTTCTCATAAATTGTTTCACAATCATGAAATAGTGTCAGACGAAGAAATGAAAGAAATGCTCAAGATGATTTTAGAAAATGACAAATCATGTGATGTAAAATTGAAAAAACTGGAGAAGAAGGGTGTTTCATATGATAGATTGTGGAATGAAGCTTTGTATTCAAATGTAAGTGTATTTTTACATTAATTAATACATTCATTAATATTATTTGTTTTGTTATTTAGCTATTTTGTAGCTACTTGGAAGAAATAGAATAAAAAAAGGATATTATATCTGGCAGGTTAAAGAAAGCTTGTGATCAACTTTTAGAATTCACCGAATCAAGCCTTTTGATGAAAATTATACGAGAGAACAAATGAAACAATGAAAAATCAATAGTGATGTTAGAAAAATTTATAAAGACTTATATTCTTCAGTTGATTCAGATGACACTTATTTATTGTTAATCATCAAAAAGGTTTTTGTTTCTGAAGATGAACAAATGAGAAAAAACGTGATATGGTGTCAAGTTATACTAGAAATTATCTTCGATAAAAATTACTTATCATCTAAGATAGAAACTGATACTATTGATAAATGATATTTGAAACTTATTAATGTAATTTTCTTATTTTTTTATTTTTTTCATTATTGTTTTAGCAATTTTACTGATTGCCTGTATTTTTAATTATTATTATAGGATGAAGAAGAAGCAAATTCTGAAAAAAGTGATATTGAAGAAGAAAATGATCAATGAGAATTGGTTTTTTATTTTTATTTTAGCTTTTCTGTTTTAATTTTCATTATTTTTAGTTAGCTTATTTATAAGTATAACCATATTTTTGGTTAGTAGCAAATATAAATACAAAATATGTGTCAATTAATAAATGTATTTTAATGTATTAACTATTATATATGATATGTGTTGTTTAATAGTAAATGCCATTTTATGATAAGTATTAGTTGATATAATATCAGTGTTAGTTGATATAGGGTTATGTTACCCTACATTTTAACATGCTGAATAACTCTAGTATTAATTAATACGAAGTTCAACACCCCTAAAAACTTACTGATGAAGGATTATTCTAGTAGAACAATAGAAGAATCATTCTAAAGGAATGATTAAAAGCATCATTTCTCAAGAATAATAAAAAATCATTCTAAAGAAACGATACAAAAAAATCATTCCTTAAGTATAAATCTACATTATTCTATCAGAACGATAAAAAAAATCATTCCTTTAAAATGATTCTTCTATCATTCTATTGGAATGAAGCTTTTAATCATTCCTTTAGAATGATTGATTCTTCTATCGTTCTATCAGAATGATACCTTTAATCGTTCTTTTGAATAAAACTAAAAAATTGTTCAATTTTTAGCTCGAGTTTAGCACTTGACTTAACTTTACTGAACTTGTCTGACTCATAATTTGAGTCGACTCGTTTGGATCTTGAATATAATTTAATATACTATTATATACTATATAAAATATTTGCCCAATATGAAATAATTTTTTTTAATATATATAATTAAATATTTTAATAAATTTAACTTATTTACACTATAATAAACAAAATAAATAATAAAAATTTATAAAATTTGCTATATTTAAAAATTATTGAAATGACAGATCATTTGTCATTTGTCATTTGAGTCATTTGCCAGTCATAATCATTTTGTGAATACTGGTTTAATAAGCCTGAGCCTTTGATATCATGGAAGTGAATTGAAAATCACATGCAGATTTATCACTATTCATTAGATATAAGAAAATGCAAAGACTGTGAATGCTAAAAGAATATAAAGCTTTAGATGCTGCCATTCTTTTAAATGGGAATAATGGATTTCTCCTCCAATTACAAAAGAAAAAGACAGTTATTTTATCAATCTAATTTACGCTCTTCAATATCATGATAAACTTAAAATTTCACAGTATAATAGTTATTGTCCTTCAATTTTACGAGAATTATATTAGCGTTTGTGTTGCAACATATGTGAAAAATACTTTTCAACTCTCAAGTTTATGAATGATCATAAGCGAAATATGCATCTTAGATATCATAAACAAAAGATACTAAAAAGCATCCAAAAACAAGCTAATGAGTCAGAAATAGATTGTGTACTTGTTTCGTTAAATCAAAATTATAACATCGTTGAAGATATAATTCTAAAATGAGATTCGTGATAAAAGGTTGAATAGATTCCTTGTGAAATTCAATCAGATGAAGATTAAAAGAGTAGCTTAGATTATATTAAAAACAGTTTTATGATGATCATGATGATGTAAAATCGATTATATAATAAAATTTATAATTTTGGAATCTATGATAATGTAATATAATATTAATATTATATAAATGAAATTTTTTTATAATAATAGTCAAAACCTTTCTAAGTGAATCAGTCCTTTACCAAAAAGTATAAGACTTTCTCTCTTTTCCGATCATTCGAATAATATAAATACATCAACTTTAGATGAAAATTTTAGGTTTGAAAAAACTGACCAATGATCTTATATTATATATATTACGTGACTATAACTATCTGATATATGAAATCAATCCTCTACCCCTCTTTAAATCAGCTGATTACTGGCATGCCCCTTAAATCAAACTTTTATTATAAATAAAAAAATTATATGCTTTAAGTGACTTAACCTTAATTTCATATATTTTTATGTTATTTCATTTTTAATTAGTAATATAAAAAAGGTAATATATAAAAAAAGTTATTTTAAAAAATTCAACTAACAAGATAAGCAATTAATCAAGAGATAACATAAAATCTAACATTTGAGAAACTAAAAGAATATGTATCTTAGAAATTGTTCTTTTTGAAAAAAATATACATAAAAATTCTCAGATTAAAATTCCCAAAAATAAAGTTTTTAAAAATAAAACTTCTCAAGAAATTTTTAGGCTAAAGTTTTTCAAGTTGAAAAGTAGGATAACTTTGAGGGTTCTAGGACAAAATTTCAAAATAGTGTATAATAATGTTTGAGCGTCTTCTTACACAATTTCTGATATACAAACTTTATGAAATCTTTTTTAATCATCCAATCACATTGTGACGTTAGAAAGCACATTAAGAATTCAATAATGAATTTAAATTTAAAACTAAACTGGACTCAAATTCTGGTATCTAAAGAAGTTAGTATCTTACTTGGCTAGAAATTAGATTGTTTGATACTAAGAATTATACTGTTTGATATAGTCATTCTAGCCCAATTTAAATCCTAAATAATATATCAAAAAATTTTATTATTCTATTTGTTTCAGAAGAAGTCATCAAAAATCAAGGAACAAAGTGATGCAATTGAGTTGACCTGACTATACATGAAGTCGAAATGAAAAGTCGAAATGGTCGAAATTACATCATATCACATGATTTTTTATATATAGAAAAAACAAAAAAAATAAAAGATGTACGATCTCAATCAATATCGCACCGATTCATATGAAACAACTACCATTCGATTCCTCGCGACTAGACGAATCCAATGAGAAAACATTCATTGATTTTGGATTATCCCATCTCGAGATATTTGTGATCGTATTTCGAAATCTGGATTCCTTTATTTAAAGTAGAATTTATTGATTTATAATTTTGGCCAATAATACAATTGCGAGTATCTCGTGATTGGATAATCCGAAATTAATGAATGTTAGCTCACTGGATCCGCCTAATTTCGGGAATTGAATGGTAGTTGTTTCATACAAATCGGAGCGATATTGACTGAGATCGTACATCTTTTGTTTTTTGTTTTTTCTAAATATGAAAAATCATGTGATATAATGTCATTTCGACTATTTGCGACTTTAGCCTCCAATAGTCAAAATGATTTCGACCATTTCGACCATTTCGGATATCTGAAATGATCCATTTCAACTTCATATATAGACCTGACATTGCTAATCCAATATGAATAATAATTTTTATGCTATTCTGCTTGCCTTTAGAGGGGTCATCAAAAATCAAGAAATGAAGTGACGCAATTTGAAATGGGCCTGATTATGTAAACCTAAAATGAATATCATATTTCATGATATTCTAGAATTAATTCTAAAGTTAATTTATTATCAGTTAGCAATACCAAAAATTTACACCTATTGCGAAGTATAGGTATAAATTTTTGAATATATATAAGAAAGTAAAAATACTTTAGATCAAGTTTTAGTATACTAATAATTTCTCAATATTCAGAAAACCATTCTGAAGTCATTTCTTTTATACAAAATTAGGGTTGCTAGTAGGGGTAAACTGGGAGTTCTAGGGTAAAATCGAAACAATACCAAAAATAGATCTCCAAGCTTTTTTCCAATCAATTTTAGCTATATAAATCAACTATAGAATTAAAACTTCTAGCCAATTTTAACTCAATTCTAGATGATGTTATCGAACTTGACTAGGAATTAGCCTGTCTGATATCAAGAAC